TACCATTGTCTGCTGTCCTCTGTGCACGTGGGTGCGCCTCGTAGTTCAGTACGCCGTGTCTTTACTACATATTCATGAAGTCGCTGATCTAGCTTGCAAAGTTCCCATATCGCCCGAGTCTGAGCACCATGTTCAGTGGTTTGAGGTGCGGCCGTGCTCTTGACAAAGGTAGGAAACCTTCCACGTCCATCCGTAGCATGATGAGGAATGTCTTGACATATATGGGCGAGAAACTTTTCCGCGATCTTATTTGCAGTGTCAAAATGCAGGTCAATGTCGCGGTCAGCTCGTGCTCGTAGTAGCTCTTGTTGATACTGCGTGACCAGGTGGGCACCCAGTGCTTCCCTTTCTTCTTTTGGCATGGTGGCGTCTCCAACTGGGCAAGGTATTGGTCGCTTCCATCTTCTTACTTGCGTCTTGAAGGCGGGAATACTCAATGTGATCTCGAGGCCCAGGTGTCCTGGGCACGGCAGGTCACGTATGAGACGGAATCTCTGAAGCATTTGAAATCCCGCCGTGTTGCATATAACATAATCAATATGAGAGGTAGTTTCTTCAGGCGTTATTCTGTCCCAATCTTTGTCTCGGCCATAGGTCCTTACAAACTCATCTGGTGATCGTGCTGCCGTATTGTGCCACTCGCCTGACTGGATAGCCCATGCCAAAGTGTCTGACTCTGTCCACTGAATCTGAGCATCCATGCAAATGTAATATGGTGCCGCCCCTTTTGCTGCAGCTGCTTGAAGTGCAAGTCGAAACAGTCCTTCATTTTCCGCGCCAGACTTGCCATACAATGAAGCGATCAAATATCCTCGGCCGCCTTCGATTGGAATAACAACTTCCGTCCAGTGCTGCGTGTCGTAAGGCGTCTTGGCGTGGTAGTCGTGGGCCTTTGCCTTTACGAGCGGGAAGGTTACAGGTGCGAAAAGACCAACTCTTCCATTTTCCGCAGCGTGGCTATATACGACATGTTCGTGTTTGCCTTGGGAGGGGGCCTTCGTAAAAGTCTTTGGGGGTAGTCCTTGGCCCCAAGCAGCTTGCCACCCCAGGGTGCGTAACTGTCTGTCGTAGTCCGCCTTCTGTGCATTTGTGTGCCTGGTTTCCTGCAAAGCTGCGACTTGGATGTTTCTATCCAGTAGTTCATCAATATGCCCCCAGTGCGCACCCAGGGCCGTAATATTTAGTGAAATACATCGATGTTGTTCACCTCGCTGTGGCCCATCACCATGGGTTGCGTCGCGATGCTCACGGTGCAGACCTGCTTGACGCGCAAGGGCCAGCTGAGGTATCATACAAGGCATATATATATATATATATCTATCCCCAATCTTCTACTCGTCATCTTTGGAGCCGTCAGTTGACCCTGGGCCTGGCGTTTCCGAAGGAGGCTGAGTATCGGCCAACGCCCCCCCCCCCCTGGGAGGCGCAGGAGCTGGCCGTCGCTCCCCCCTCCCCCGCCTCGCCGTGGCAGCTTGGCGGTTTGGATCCATGATCTCTTGTGCCCTGTGACGACGGCCACCCCACAAAGTGTCCTGGTCAGTCAGCTCCGTCGCGTCGTAGTTGTCCTTTCGTGGTAACACCACTCCTAGCCCATGAAGCAGCAGCCCCTCAGGTCGATTTGGTGGTACCGAAAGGCGATCGTGGTTGTAGACGTCGTCTCCGCAGCAGTCCAGGGCCTGGTACAACGTCATCTTCTTTTCCTTGTTGTGGTAGTACTCCGACAGTATGCGCTTGGCATTCTCCTGACCATCCCGCTCGCCAAGATCATGCTGCTCCCGATCGGATATTGTGGAGGTAGGCTTGCCAGAGACGTCCCCGCCGCTCTTGCGCATATTCAGTGTTCTACTCGTCATCTTGGGGGCCGTCAGTCGACACTGGGCCTGGCGTTCCCGAAGGAGGCTGATCATCGGCCAACGCCCCCCCCTGGGAGAAGCAGGAGCAGGCCGTCGCCCCCCCCCTCCCCCGCCTCGCCGTGGCCGCTTGGCGGTTTGGGTCCATGATATCTTGTGCGCTTCTGTGACGGCCGCTCCACAAAGTGTCCTGGTCCGTCCGCTCCGTCGTGTCGTAGTTGTCCTGTCGTGGAGGCGCCACCCCTAGCTCATGAAGCAGCAGCCCCTGAGGTCGATTTGGTGGTACCAAAAGATGCTCGTGGTTGTGGATGTCGTCTCCGTAGAAGCCCAGGGCCTGGTCCGACGTCATCTTCTTGTCCTTGTTGTGGTAATGTTCCGACATTATCCGCTTGGCATTCTCCTGACCGTCCCGCTCGTCAAGTTCATGCTGCTCCCACTCGGATATTGTGGAGGTAGGCTTGCCATAGGTGTCCCCAACACTCTCGCATAGGTTCAGGTAGGTTGGATTGAAGCCGTCCACGTCTGCATGATGGCCTTCCCGCTCGCCACCATGGTTATATATGGGCAACTTCGCAGAATCTTCACAAGTGTCGCGGCCATCGAGGTACTTGTAGTCGTGGCAGTACTGGGGGGCAGCGTCTTCCTCGCTTGAAGTTTGGCTTGGTACTTCTTTTGGTATTCGTCCGCGGGCTTTCGCCTTGACTTCCCAGCAAAAGTTCGGACAGCACTTTCTTGGGCACCCCTAGCGGGTGGTGTCTTCTCCAGTACGCGGGGTCTTTTGTGCTGGCCCTTCCTCAGCTTCTGCCTCTGGCTTCTGCACCCCCAGCTTCTTCATGATCGCTTCGATGCCAGTCTGGAGCCCCGCCGTACCTTCCAAACGAGTCGCAGCTGTAGCAATCGCCTGGCCCTGGGTGGCAACGGTCTCCGACAACTGGTGGATCTTCGCACTTATCGTGTCCGTGGTCTCCTTCTGCATCCTGATCTGCTTCTGGAGGTCGGCGGAGTTGCGCTCCAGCGTGCTGATGCGGTCGTTGGCTTGTTGTGGCAGCACCGCTGTGACGGGTGTGGGCGCGTCCACCTGCATGTTCTCCCCGTTGGGCTCCTGCACCGTGGGCTCCGTCGATGGCCCCGATGGGGGCGGCGCCGTCGTGCCAGCAGTCCGAAGGTTGGTGAGCCATGATGGCCCGCCTGTGGCAGCTGGTGGTGCCACCGCTGCTGCTCGTGGACCCTGTGTGGGGGGCTTTGTCTGTGGTGGCGTAGCCTTGATCTTCGTCGTGGCGAGCTCCTCCGCCAAGACAATCGTAGGGGGTGTCTCTTCCACCTGGGCTTTCGGCTTGTCGATCAGCGCTGTGACCACCCACGGCTGCACTGCTGTACCAACTTTCCAGCACATGCTCTGGGGTGGGGCGTCTGCCTTGGCAATGGCGTAGTGGCTCTGCTCACGGTTGTCGTAGGCGACGTTGATGATATCACAACTCCACTTGAGACTTTCGGCCACTCCTTTGACCTGACCCTTTGAGGCCATGTTGGCTGGAACGTGGTCAATGCGGAAACGCTGGCGTGCTAAACTCGCTGTGTTGCCTCGTACCTCCACAGCACTCTCCTTGGCCTTTGGCGAGCTCCTTGCCATACGGATGCCCATCGACCTCCGATCGCTGCGCATCGCTCCCTGGTGGCCCTCATACTTGATGGCAATATCATAGGCCTCGTGCAGGGTTGCCGTGGAAGAGGGCAGCCAGATCACAAAGGTCTCGTTCTTGTCTATCTCGGCATGCTCCGCGTTGCCGATGTAAGAATTTGCGAAGGTGATGCCCTTGAATCCCGACAGCCTGAGATACGCTGAGGCTTCGGGAGGAGGAGGATGAGGAGGAGGAGGAGGAGGGGGAGGGGGAGGAGGCAGAGAAGGAGGAGGAGGAGGAGGAGGAGGAGGAGGAGGAGGAGCAAGGCTCCCACGCCAAGGCTCCCAAGAGCGAGCGGCAACGTAATCATCTCTGGGCACGAGGACTCCGAACAGAGAGCGGTGACGCAACACGCTTTTCCTAGCAAGGCTCCCAAAAGAGAGCGGTGACGTAACACGCGCTTACCAGCAAGGATCCCAAGAGCGAGCAGTGACGCAACAAACTCTTACCACCAAGGCTCCCAAGAGCGAGCGGCAACGTACGCATCTCTGTGCACGAGGACTCTGAACAGAAAGTGGTGACGCAACAAGCTTTTCCTAGCAATGCTCCAAAGAGAGAGCGGTGACGTAATACGCGCTTACCAGCAAGGATCCCAAGAACGAGCGGTGACGCAACAAGCTCTTACCACCAAGGCTCCCAAGAGCGAAGGGTGCCATGAGCCATCTCGGGCAAGTTGCTGAATCGCTCTTTCCGTTGCCGTGCCGGCCCGGGTACGATGTCGGTCAAATGGGCGATCACTGGTGACTGTCAGCTTTCTTCTTGTCGTGCGCGACGCAACGTGAAATCATACGTGCCAAATGTACAAGCCACAAGTGCTTGATCTAAGATTATTGAAGCAATGGATGATGGGATCACGCTGGTAGACACATCTATCACCACTCCAAGGTCGAAGCGTCTGGATACGCGCATCGTTCGGAGAGCGCATATTATATATATATAAAGACGAAATGAAGGCAGCTGTTACATTTGTTCTGTTCCAGCCGTCCCCACAGCTGCCGCCAACACGCGAAACGAACACACTGGAAGAAGCAATCACGCAACGAAAAGATATTCGCTCGGCATCCTACCCCTGGAGATGGCGCTGGCGACCGCATCGAAGCACCCGCGCCACACAGGACGAGTACTGTAGCCGCACCGGACGGGGAGTTCGCTGTTGATGTTCCCCTGAGACCAGACCTTCCGAGGAGCGGCCGGAACCCGGTGTCCGTGCGGAGGCTGAATCCTCGACCCCGCAGCGTTCAAATTTACCAGATCAGAATTATTGTCCTCTTCAGGCTGCGGCGCGGCTGGCTGGCCTTTCTCTTTCGAATCGGTTTCAGCCGTCAAGGTTGAGAAGGGCAGGCTTGCGGAACGGAGACCTCGCCATCGAACTCCACAACACACGCCGACTTTCCCGTGAGCCTCCGGCGTCTGTCGTCTCGCTGGCGTTTAAGCCAGCGCTACAGAAAGACGCATCGCAGCGAGTGCAACAATGGACGACGGACCGTTCGCAGGACGAACCCCAAAAAGATAGGAACGTGGGTTTTAATGTTCCAGGACATGTTGACTGGGGTTCATAATGTTCTCCCCGGAACACTAAGAACCTTGGTTTATAATGTTCCGGGAATACCGACCCCCAAAAGATATTAACCTGGGTTCATAATGTTCTGGGACTATTGATTGGGGTTAATAGTGTCTCGGGAATAATGAACCCAGGTTGAATAATATTCTGGAATGCTAATAATGGAGGCTGAGGAGCGTCGCCTGAGCCATAGGGGGTATTATGCATTCGGATTCATCATTCGGGAATGATTATACGTATTCTTTTCCCCCACTCCCGCGCCTCCAAACTGGGATTCAATATGTTAGAATATTGACGCTAATCCGTTATCTCTAGAACATCATAAACTGGGGGTCGTAATGTTCTGGGAATAATGAACCCAGGTTTATGATTCTGGAATGATAGTGATCCGGCGGAGGAGGGGTGCGCCTGAGAAGGAGTTTGGACTGGGATCAACCCTGGTTCATTATGTCGGAAGATCGACCCCAGATGCATTATTCCAAAATGAGAATGATTTGGCGAGGGGGGGGGACACCGATTCATCCACAGGACAATAATCCAATGGGGGTACCATCTGAACATAATGAACCTAGGTTAATCATTCCTAGATAACAAACCACGGCCGACGAGGATTTCGTACTCACCCTCACCGTTCGCGTTTGCACCTCGTTGCCGATGCGAGCGAATCTTGTCAGTCCGAGCTGCGCGGCCCAAGTCCAGTCATGCGTGCGCGGCGGACGGCTCTGCAACCACCGCGCACAGCGTAACTCCAGGCGGAGCACAAGGTTCGGGTGTTGCAGAAGTGCCCCCGGCCCGAGGTGCCCCCAATTTCCCAGGAGGCCCCCACGGCCTCTACAGCACGTCTCACGAGGCCCAGAGGGCCCCATGGGCTCCAAGAATGAGCGAAAAGCCGGGGGCACCTTGGGCCAGGGGCACCTTTGGCAGCCCCCGTGAGGTAGCCCACGCAGGCGACGCTGTGCGAGAGGAGCGCGTGCGCAACCCGTGGCGGCGAGCAGCACCGCTGCGGGTGCCCTCCACTGTTAGCACGTGCGGGCCGCGGGCACGCGTGGATGCCTGCGGCCAAGCGCTGGCACAGTGGCGCTCGCGCGACGAGAGGACACGTCGAATTCCGGCGCGCCCAGGTCGATCTCGCGACCAGAGGCGCGGCGAGGGCCCTCGGACCTCGGGAGAAGCCCTGCGGGGCGCCCCTGGGAGTCCTGCGGGGCGCTCCTGGAGTCGTGCGAGAAGGCTCAAGAGATCTGGCAAGGCCTTCACAATGTTCCAATTCACTGCGTAAGCACAAATCTCGGAGCTCCGCACGGATTTCGTAGATCGGCGCTGGGCCTCCCTGGCGGCGCCCCTGGCGCTGCCCCTGGCTCCGCGCGCCAGGTTGGGGGGTCCAGCGAAGATCCAAGAAATCCGCCCGGACCGTCGAAAGTTTATGTGTATGCTGTTTTCTCTTCCTCTACGAATGCTCGATACGGAGGACCTAATTATGGGGATCTGGAGACACCCTATTTAGTGCCTGCGCACGGTGGCGGATGCACTTCTTTGTTCCAGCCACTCTGTTGCAACCCTTTCTAGCCTGGGCCACGCTCCCACCTCGGAATGGTGTTCTCGCATCGGCGCCGGCCCGAAGGGTCGCTCAGTTGGGTGTCCTCGGGCTCGTTTGCCCGTCGCTTGGTGGCCCACGCCACGATCCGGTGTTTTGGCGATTTCATGGACCCTTTTCGTTTTGATTTCGCTTCGTAGCAAAGGCAGAACGAAGACAGACTGAAGGAAAACGAAACGAAAACGAAAACGACAAACGACAAACGCTGTTTAGCTCGAGCCCTGCCGCGCCCTGGAGTGGAGTTCCGCGTGAAGTTCTGGCATCAGCGCCAGTCTCCTCCTTGGTGCTGATCGTGCTCCCTCTCCCCTTCCGGGCTCTTATCCCGCTGCTCGTCAGTCAATCCGCTCTTCAGTCGTTGGAGTGATTTGCTAGCGAGTTTTTGACCGAGTGGGTTGCTTTGCGCTGGTTGATATCGAGGTTCGAACGCCTGCGCTCCGAGTGTCTACCGGCGGCGACCCCAGCCCGTGCGTTTAAAGCCGAACGCCGCCGGCAGCCCAGAGTCGGCCTGTCGTTGAACGATCCGGCGTTAACCGATCGTTCAAGTTTGAACGATCCCCGCCGTGTCAGGAACCAACGCCGGAGTCGACACGACGCGAACCTGTCGTAGGCGTTCGCGCTCGGTCAAGACGCCGTGCAGGAACGCACGCCGTGGGCTGCTGGAGCGTTGCCCCGGGTAAACATCGGTGCCGGGGCGCATGCCGCGGTTTGCTGGAGCGCAGTCCCTCGTTACGAGGGGCAGCGCTCCAGGCGATGTGCTGCAGCGCTCCGAGCCGCGCTGCAGCACATAATTTTTCTACGTCGTAGAAAATTATGTGCTGGAGCGCGGCTCGGTTTGCAGCACGAGCTGCCGGAGCGCCTTCCCTTGCAAGAGTTTGGCGCTGAAGCCGCACCTCCTTTCTAGGGTATATAAACAGTATGGGGGGAGAGGGGCAAAGGATGCGGCGAGGGTGGTTGCTAGCATCGTATTCGTTCTCGCTCTCAAACGGGGCCCGTTGCTTACCCGCCCTGCCACATTTGTAGTAGCGCAGTGTGTGTGTGTGTGTGTGTATGTGTGCGTGTGTGTGTGTGTGTGTGCGTGTGTGTGTGTGTGTGTGTGTCCCCGCCGCGTGAGCTGGCCCAGCCGCGCGCTCGCTCCCCTCGACTGTTTACGCCGCGCCACCGCGCGCGTGGCCGCAACGCCACGAAGTATGTGTGTATGTGTGCGTGTGTCTGCGTGGGTGGGCGGGTGGGTAGTTGGATGCAGGCGAGTGAGTGCGCGCAGGGGCGTGCGCGTACGCGTGCGTGGGCGGGCGCGCGCGTGTGTCCGTGTCCGCGCGCACGCGAGGAGGAAGCAGTCCAGAGGAAGACCAAGAGGAGGGAGACGATCATGACTAGTAGGAGGTGGGAGGATCCAAGACAGTATCCCCAACCCGCCGCCGATGCATGAACCTGCGCGTTGCAATCTCACTGGCAACTATCTTCCACTTACTGTATGGCAGCGTGCCTGTTGTATGTTTCAGTTTGGCTGTGGGCTGATGTAGCCGCTGGTGCACGCTATCCAATCATCTCCCTGTGGGCGCAGACAGCAGTTGGGTTGCCAAAGAGGTTCTAGCATTGAGTTGGTTTGCCAGACATATCTGGGCCGTGCGCATCGTAGCATTGTCTGGAACGGACAGAACAGGCATTGCACGGCGGCCTTTTGTTGCACCTTCGCAGTGTGTATCCGCGCGAGCAGTCAGTTTTCATTTTATTATTGTTGCAGCGCAGCTTGCAGTTCAGTGCGGGGGTTTTCGAGAGTCTTGTATGCTGGCCTGACATGCGGTCACTTCATCTCGGGGTCATTCTGAAACGCAGATCCCTCTCTCCTTTCTCTGGCCAGAGCTAGGTGATGTGTGGAAGCGGCAGAAGTTCCCGCTGGCCTCCGTCCGGAAGCCCCCGAAGCTGAGTCCAGCTGACCTGGAGAAGTGCCCGTGCCTCTCTCTTTCGGCCGTGGGGCATGATGATGCAGGTGGTGGTGGTGGTGATGCTGATGCTGATGCTGATGCTGATGCTGATGCTGCTGCTGCTGATGGTGGTGATGACGATGGTGATTATGCTGCTGATGATGCTGATGATGCTGATGCTGATGCTGATGCTGATGCTGATGATGACGCTGATGCTGATGCTGATGCTGATGCTGATGCTGATGCTGCTGCTGCTGATGATGATGATGATGATGATGATGATGATGATGATGATGATGATGATGATGATGATGATGTTAATGTGTATGATGATGAGAAGGCGGGGGAGGAGGGTGGTGGAGGTCAAAGAGGATCACCGGGGAGTGTGGCAGCTTCCAGGGCTCTCGTGGCCTGCCGAGGAACGTGGCGGACACGGGTCCAGCGCCGTGCTCGACCCTTCTGGGGAGGAAGTGCGCCCACAGGGCCTGCCTGCGTCCTGCTGGGTGTCCACAAGGTAGACTTCGGTCGGCCTGCTTTCTGGGGGTGCTTAGCGCGGACACATGATAGTGGGCTTTCAGGCTCGCACAGAAACATCGAAGCCATCTTGGTCGCACATTCAATGCGACATAGCTCTGGTACGTGTCAGCAGCAGTGCAGTCTTCGCGGACAATTCGCGTCGACATGAGGAAGCACATGAGTGGGCATAGGGGCAAGTATCCACTTGCGCTTCTGCGCACTTTCGCTACCACGCTTCGGGAAGCTGCGTGGCGACGCTTTCTGGAGCTCCTGAGGCCCCTGGGAACTTCGGATGCTTCGGGAGACCTCCAGAGAAGACGACGCCGCTGCTCTCTGCTCCGGTTCGGCCCCCATGAGCCACAGCCAGCGATCGACCCCCTTTCCCCACCCTGACCTACTGCCTCCAGGTCTGAACGCCAAGGGAGGGGGGCATCATGGATGCACAAGCCTGCTTCCATATGCTGGCATTCTATCCGTGCCTCGGCCACGAAAGGGCTCCCCGTTCCAAACCTGAGATGCGGCCCGAAGCAGAGCCCCTCCTGATCCCAACGTGGTCCTGCATCTCGGCGCCGCGAACATGTGCTGATGCACCGCCTCAACTCCCGGCGCCTTTCGCCGCCGGAGCCCGCCGCCGTTTTGCTGCTTCCGCTGGCTCCCCCCGTGCGCTGTGGCCCTCGTCGGCGGCCCCCCGGGGGCGCCTGGGCGTGAGCACGACCGCGGAGCGCCCGAGCGGCCTGTGCCCCGGCTGCGAGCGACCAAAAACTTGGTGTGCGTCCGCCACGCGCAGAGGAGGGTCGGGGGAGGCGGGAAGGCTTCTGAGATGGAGGCTGCTTCTTAGAAGGCGCGGGCCTTATCTACAGATCCATGGCTGGCGCTTTCTAAGACGCGGCCTCCTTCTAACAGGCCTTTCCCCCTCCCCCTACCCCCTTGTGCGCGCCGCCAAGTGTGTGTGTGTGTGTGTGTGTGTGTGTGCCCGCCTTCCACGGCCGCGAGATCCTCGCGCGCGCCCGCGCAGGTTCAACCCGCAGAAGGGGGAGCAGGCCAGCGACGCAGGGGGAGGAGGAGGGATGAGGTGGGGATGAGTGGAGTGGAGGATGGTGGGGGCGAGAAGGAGGAGGACGCGCATGAGGATGAGGATGAGGATGGGGGTGAGTGTGAGGATGAGGAGGAGGAAGAGGAGGAGGCTGAGGATGAGGATGAGGAGGAGGAGGAGGAGGAGGCGGAGCAGGAGGAGGACCAGTGTAGCTCGCCTCGCGCGCCCTGCGTGCTCATGGAAAGTAGTCGGGCCCCTCGTCTTGGGCAAAATGGAGGACCAGTGTAACCCCAAGACCTATCAACGATGTTAGAACACACCCTCCCTCCAAACTCCCTCTTCATAAGGGCCCTAACAGAGTTCATTTCCACTGAGGGAAGAGCGCCCCGTTGGGGGACAACCGTGTGAAAATCCCGACGCGTGCCAAAGCACCATTCACAGGACTTCAACGCCACGAGTAAGCCTGACTGTTGCGTCTTGACGATCCTGAACGGTGCAAGAACACCGTTTTTGGGACTTCAGCACCGCGAATCAACGTACCTGACAATCGCGAATCGTTTGAAAACGCCATTTTAAGTACGTTAGCGATGAGAATCAGTGAAGCGCTCGTAACATGTTGAACAAGCGAATGTGCGCGGCGCTAAGGCGACAGCCACATTTGCCACATTTTGAAAAGAGCCGTCCTCGATCCTTGAAGCTCTTGCAAAGGAGGCGAGTGTGCGCGGCGCAAAGGCGAGAGCCACATTTTGAAAACCACCCGCCTTCAATCCGTGAAGCCCTTGCAACTTAGAAAAACGAATGTGCGCGGCGTTAGGGCGATAGCCATCACATTTTGGAAGCGACCCGCCCTCCATCTGTGAAACTGTTGACAGTTTTAAAGCTTCAGGCTCATAAGTGGTAAGGAAGTCTCAGGCGAATCGCCCAGCCCGCCCTTCCGACTGGCCTCGGGGTGCGACAGGGGGGAGTTATTCATACGGAAAGGACTAGAGGAGGAGGTGGAGGAGGAGGATGAGCATTATGAGGAGGAGGAGGAGGAGGAGCAGGAGGAGGAGGAGGAGGAGAAAGAAGAGGAGCATGATGTTGATGCTGATGCTGATGCTGATGCTGATGACGCTGCTGATGATGATGCTGATGGTGTTGATGATGATGATGCGCTGCTGCTGATGATGATGCTGCTGATGATGATGATGATGAGCATGACGCTGATGATGATGTTGATGATGGTGGTGGTGGTGATAATATGGTGATGACGATGAGGATGATGCTGCTGCTGATGACGACGAGGAGGAGGATGAGGATGATGAGGAGGAGGAGGACAAGGTGAAGGAGGAGGAGGAGGAGGAGGTGCAGGAGCAGGAGGAGAAGGAGGAGGAGGAGGAAGAAGAGGAGCATGACGATGCGGATGCTGATGCTGATGATGATGCTGCTGATGATGATGCCCTGCTGCTGCTGCTGCTGATAATGATGATGATGATGCTGGTGATGGTGGTGGTGATGATGTGGTGATGCTGGTGATGATTATGAGGATGATGATCATGATGCGGATGATGATTATGATGATGATGATGAAGATGATGATGATGATGATGATGATGATGATGATGATGATGATGCTGATGATGATGATGATGATGATGATGATGATGATGATGTGGTGGTGGTGGTGGTGATGATGCTGCTGCTGCTGCTGCTGATGATGATGATGATGATGATGATGATGATATGATGATGATGATGATGATGATGATGATGATGATGATGATGATGATGATGATGATGATGATGATGATGATGATGATGATGATGATGATGATGATGATGATGATGAGGAGGAGGAGGAGGAGGAGGAGGAGGAGGGCAAGGTGAAGGAGGAGGAGGAGGAGGAGGAAGAGGAGGAGGAGGAGGGGATCGTCCATGGAAGCCATGGAGGAGCACGAAGGTACGATGGACGAGCCCACGCGACGTGCCGTCACGCGACGTGCCGTCATGGCGCGGCCCGCCCCTCTGCGGGCGCATGTTTGGGAAACTCCCAGGGGGTTTCGCCCCTTGCCGGCCACGCGTTCTGCATCGCGGCCAAGCGGCGCATGCACCTGCTCTTGCTGCCAGCGACGGGCACGTGCCAGAACACACTTACCCGTGCACTGGCGCAGGCGGGTCCAGTCTGCGGGCGCGATGTGGATGTCCACTGTGCGCGCGCTGAGCTGCCCCAGTGGCGGCGGCCCAGTGCGGCGCCACAATGCCGTGCGCGACGCCGTGGCGCTCTGGCTACGCGAGATGGGGCACCAGGCGCAAGTGGAGCAGGTCATCCAGGAGTGGCACACGGAAGCGGACGGCGCGGCGACACTGGACGTCGTGAGCCCCGGGGGCTACACGGACGTGTATGCCTCGACCTCAGCCTGGCGGACTCTGTGGCGGTCGCACAGTCCAGCAGGCCCCTTGAAGCGGTCCTCCAGCGCAGGGAAAAACTGAAGCATCGCAGATACCCATTCCAGGGACTCGTGCCGTGCGTTCTGGACATCAATGGCAAGTGGGGCGCTGAGGCTGAGACCTGTCTGAGGCGCGTGATCGGTGAGCTTCCTGAGGGGTGGCGCCGCGCCGCCAGGTGCTCTCGCCGCTCCTCGGTCGCCAGGGCCCTACGGGGCCAGGTGGCTGAACAAATTGTTCTCGCCGCAGAGGACGTCGCGCCGAGCGCCGGGGCAGCCCCGCGTGCTCGGCGCTGACGAGGTTCCGCGTCCATCCCCGCTCCCCTCCCCTGCCCTCTGCCCCGTCCGCCGTTGTCTCCTCTTCTCTTGCACACTGATTGTCTTGGGTCTGGTCAACGCGTGGCCGCGAAAATTGCCAGCGCGCTCCGGGTCTTCAGACATGTGGCGTTGCCTCCTGTGAGTCTGGCGCGTGGGGGCGCAGCGGGCCAGTGACCTCGCCCAGTCAGTGTCAAGAGGCGGAGAGGGGCGACCGTGGTCGGGGTAGCCCCTAGGGTCCTGGGGCCCGCGACGGCGCGCCTGAGGAAACGACGCGTGCCCGCGGCGCGGGTGCCCCCCCCTCTCTCTCTCTCTCTTGCCTCCAGCGGTCGCTCTGATCGGGGGTGCGCCCGTGCTCTTCTGTTTTTTTTTTTTTTGTTTTTTTTTTTTGTTTTCTCCTTTTTTTTTTTCTTCTTCTTCTTTTTTCCAATACGTGCCGATTCAACCTCTGTAGTTATGCGCCCTTTTTAAGACTCCCGTGGGGAATCGGCCATCCTATGTCAGCGTGGTGTATAGCCTTTCTTGCCTCCCCCATTTCAACCGCAGCTGTTTGGATCGCGTGGTTCGCGCGGCGCTGCGACGCCGTGGCGCCGAAGCTCTCGGCGCCCGCAGCGATGCCGTGGCCAGTCACTACTCGCCCCGCCTCAGCGAGCCACGGCCCCGCGCCGCTGCGCGAGGCTCCCGGCGCCAGGGTCAAAACCAAAGCGGGGGCCAAGGCCAGACCTAAAGCTCAAGCTCAACTTTGAGCTCCAGGGATGCAGATGGAGCCGCAGTTGGAGATCGAGGCGGCGGCGGCCGCGAAGGAGGGGGCCACCGAGGGGGCGGGTGCGGGCATTGGCCCGTCCAGCACGGGCGCGCCGCCAGCCGCGGAGGAGGTCGCAATGGAGGTTGGGCGCCCGATGGCGGTGGTTGAGGTGTCGGGGCAGCCCCGAGTGCCTCGCCCCGACCTGAAGGTAGACCTCTCCGAGAGCGACGCGTTCCTGAGCGACCTCGCCGACATCTCAGAGGGGGAGTTCGCGCGCGTTCCCGGAGGCTCGGCCCCCGTGCCCGGCGCTTCGGAGGAGCCCGAAGCCGCGGGGCGGGGAGGTGCGGGGGCGGCCCCCAGTGCCTCCCCGCCCAGCGGCACGAAGGCCCCCGCGCGTGCGAAGCGCGCCGTTGCAGCCGCCCAGGCCGCGTTGAATGTGGTGCCGTATGCGGGTCTCACTGAGGGCCAGAAGAGCGGGCTGGATAAGCTGACGATGGCGCTCCAGGCCACGCAGCTGCGGGGGCGGGTGGGCAGAGGGGCCGCGTCGGGAGCCCGCGGCGATCCAGGTGAGGCCGCCAGCGCTGCGGACGGCAGCGAGACGCGCAGCGACGCGCTAAGCGCTGCCGTGGCCGACGGGGCAGGGCGGGGCTCCAGGCGGAGCCGCCGCCGAAGCGGCGAAGCAGCATGTGGGCAGATGCAACCGCGGGCGGAGACGGACGCTGACGCTCTCATGAGTGCCGAGGAGATGGCGCAGGAGCATTGCGAGTCTATGGGCTGGGAGTTCCGCATGGGGACTTATTGGGCACGACCGTTGCGGCTGGGTTGGCGCTGTCGCTGCTCGGCCCTGGATGACTGGAAAGTCATGGAGATAGAGCGGGTCGAGGAGCTGTCGGGCGCCGAGCTGGCCCGCTACGGGCAAGCGCTGGGCGCGAGCCTCGGGTGCCTTAGGCTGCGGTGCGGCAAGCAGGGGGGCCTGCGTGCCAACTCCTGCTCCAGGTGCGCAGCCGGGCGCAGAGACGTAGATGGGCGCGAGGCAGTCGCAAAGACTGCGAGGGCCATTAAAGGCGCAGGTTCAATCCAGCACTCGCGGGACCGTGTGGCCATGTTCCAGAAGTCCTTCAACGTGCTCAAAGAGAGCCTGGACGTGCCGGTGGGCTACGCGCTCGCTGAGGACGGGGGGCTGGCCCTGAGTCACGCCGCGACGGGCGTGCGCATAGGCGTCGACAAGTCCAGCGCGGGGGCGCCGCCTGCCGCGGGGGAGGTCGCAAAGGAGGTCGGGCGTCCGATGGCGGTGGCGGAGGCGCCGGGGGGGCCCCGCGTGCCTCCGCCACCGGCCGAAGACGGCGCGGCCGACTGGGAGATGACGGCGACGCCGCGCTCCGAAGCGCCAGGTGATCCCAGCGGCCGCGACGGGAAGCTGGTGGAGGAAGTGGCAGACGTCCGCTCTCTCATCAGCATGGGATATTCCAAGAAGACGCTCTAGCGGATGGCGGGGTGCTGTGCCATGGTGCGGCGTGAGACTCTGCGGGCCCGCGTGAAGGGGGGGCCTGTCGCAGGTGGCTGACTACCCCGACCAGGTCTTCACGGGCAACAAGTTCACGATGAACATGTACTACAAGTGCAGTGCAAACGAGACCTGGGACAACCCCAGAGGGTGCAGGTCCGCAATCCGCGCGGACCGCTCGCCGGGCGCAGCTTCTCTCCCACGAAGGAGAGGCGGGGTGGCGAAGTGGCCAATGGTGGCGCTGCCGCTGCGGAGCTCGGCGCGCAACGAATTTTGGCGCGTGCGTCGAGATGGTTGACCGCGTAGCCAAGCCGCCTCAGGCGCGGTACCTGCAGGCCAAGTTCCCCGAGGGGGGCGCCGGGGATCTGAAGGCCCTGCTGCGGGCGGACAAGCTCGAGAAGGACGGCGTCACGGCGATCAATCCTGCGGATGTGTTGCAGCGCCTTCCGCAGGTAGGGCCCTCGGCAGTGGGCGCAGTGTTCAATAACTATTCGGAACAGGAGCAATGGGGGGCCATTGGGCATCGATGAACGACATGACGTGGGAGAAGATACCTGGGTTCAACTGGTGTGACATATGCTCGCAGATAGCACGGGGGCTCAATGGCCCTGATTGGGCGGGCTACAGCAAGAAGACCAGGGGCAGGATGAAGCGCGAGAAGCTCGATGAGGCGAGGGTGGCGATGCTGAGCTACGAGCAGCGCCGCGAGCTGGGCGCCGGCAGCCTCTCCGGCGGGGGGGGCGCAGGGGCGGCCTCGAGCGCCCCCCCCGCTAGCGGGCGGCAGGCGGACCAGGGGGCGAGTGGCGCAGGGCGGTGGGCCCGCCGCCGCCGCCGTCTGCGCCCGCGGCGCTGACCGACGCGGGGGCGCCGCCGCCGCCCGTGGGCCCGCCGCCAGACGTCGAGTCCCAGCTGTATGGCCCCGCGGTGGAGGGCAGCCAATGGGGGCGGGGCGGTTCGCGCGCCCCCGTCCGAGGTTTTTGAGCGCCGAGTGGCTGGGTGGCTCGGTGGCCCCAGGACTCCCGGGCTTCAAGGCCAGAATGAGCGAACGAACGAATGAGTGAGTGAGGGTTTGCGCGCCTGCTCTGACACGGTGCGCTGCATCAGCGTCGCGTCAATTTTAAAAACTGCCAGGGCGTTCCAACCTGTGGCTGTCTGAGGCTCCGCTGTGGCCTCTCCTGTGTGCCCTATGCTACCTCGCGGCGCCAGGGCCGCCCCGTGGGCTGCGGGCCGTGCGCGGCGTCGCCGTGCAGCCCTCGGCATTCCAACTAAGTGACCAGCCATTTTGGCTTGCCCTACCTTGTTTCTCGCTGTGGTCCCGTGCCGCGTTAGGGCCCCCCGCGCTTGAGGGGTCGGGCGGTGCTGGGGTAGCCCCGCGTGCTGCGCGTCCTGTGCTGCGTTGGGTCTGGCCCGTCTCGATGCGCCCTGGCGGTCGCGCCTGGGGCGAGCGGTGCTGGGGCAGCCCCGCGCGCCGTTCGCCCAGTGGCTGTTTTGGGCCAGGCGCGTCTTGATGGGCCGAGGCCGCGACGCTGCAGCTTCGTCAATCCGCGGCGTGTGCCCCGCCATTCTTCGCGCTCCACTTGGCGTGTGTTTCATTGTGGGGCAATGGGGCAGCCGCGGGGCGCCTGCCTCAACGTGGTCGAGCCGTGGTGATGTGGTGCACGTGGCCGCAAGTAGTAGTAGTAGTAGTAGTAGTAGTAGTAGTAGTAGTAGTAGTAGTGGTAGTAGTGGTAGTCGTAGTAGTAGTAGTAGTAGTAGTAGTAGTAGTAGTAGTACGCGTAGTAGTCGTAGTAGAAACAGTAGTAGTAGTTGTAGTCGATGTAGTAGTAGTAGTAGTAGTAGTAGTAGTAGTAGTAGTAGTATTAGTAGTAGTAGCAGTAGTAGTAGTAGTAGTAGTAGTAGTAGTACTAGTGGTACTAGTAGTACTAGAAGTAGTAGTGGTAGTAGTAGTAGTAGTAGTAGCAGTAGTAGCAGCAGTAGTGATAGCAGTAGTAGTAGCAGTGGTCGTAGAAATAGTATTAGTCCTCGTAGTCGTAGTCGTGGTCGTAATCGTAGTTATAATTGTAGTCGCAGCAGTAATCGTAGTCGTACCTGTAGTAGTCGTCGTAGTAGTAGTAGTAGTAGAAGAAGAAGAAGTAGTGGTAGTAATAGTAGTAATAGTACTAGTATTCGTAGTACTATTGGTAGTAATGGTAATCGTAGTCGTAGTAATCGTAAATGTAGTAGTACTAGTAGTGGTAGTAGAGGTAGTAGTAGTAGTGGTAGTAGTAGTAGTAGTAGTAGTAGTAGTGGTAGTAGTAGTAGTAGTAGTAGTCGTCGTGGTAGGAGTAGTAGTGTAATCGTAGTAGTAGTAGTAGTAGTAGTAATCGTAGAAGTAGTCGTAGTAGTAATGGTCGTAGAAGTAGTAATAGCAGTAGTAGTAGTAGTAGTAGTAGTAGTAGTAGTAGTAGTAGTAGTAGTAGTCGTGGTAGCAGGAGTGGTGGTAGTATAGTAGTAGTAGTAGTAGTAGTAGTAGTAGTAGTAGTAGTAGTAGTAGTAGTAGTAGTCGTAGTCGTAGTCGTAGTCGTAGTCGTAGTCGTAGTCGTAGTCGTAGTCGTAGTCGTAGTCGTAGTCGGAGTCGGAGTCGGAGTCGGAGTCGGAGTCGGAGTCGGAGTCGGAGTCGTAGTAGTAGTAGTAGTAGTAGTAGTAGTAGTAGTAGTAGTAGTAGTAGTAGCAGTAGTAGTAGTAGTAGTAGTAGTTAGTAGTAGCAGTAGTAGTCGTGAGTAGTTGTATTGGTGGTCGTAGTAAAGTAAGTAGTAGTAGTAGTAGTAGTAATAGTAAGTTAGTTGTAGTGAAAGTAGTGTAGAGTAAGAGCGTGTACGAGTAGTAAGCAGCAGCAGTAGTAGTAGTAGTATTAATATTGTAGTAATGGTGGTAAAGTAGTAGTTATAGTAGTAGTAAGTAGTCAGTAGTAGTAGTAGTAGTAGTAGTAAACTAGTAGAATAGTGGTACGAGTAGTAGCAGCAGTAGTAGTAGTAGTAGTAGTAGTAGTCGTAGTAGTAGTAGTAGTAGTAGTAGTAGTGGTAGTAGCAACAGCAGCAGCAACAGTAGTAGTAGTAGTAGTAGTAGTAGTAGTTATAATAGTATTACTAGTAGTAGTAGTAGTAGTAGTAGTAGTAGTAGTAGTAGTAGTCGTAGTAGTCGTGGTAGTAGTAGTAATAGTAGTAGTAGTAGTAGTAGTAGTAGTAGTAGTAGTAGTCGTAGTAGTAGTAGTAGTAGTAGTAGTAGTCGTAGTCGTAGTCGTAGTCGTAGTCGTAGTCGTAGTTGTAGTCGTAGGTCGTAATCGTAGTCGTAAGTCGTCTAAGTCGTAAGTCGTAGTCGTAGTGGTAGTCGTAGTCGTAGTCGTAGTCGTAGTCGTAAGTCGTAGTCGTAGTAGTAGTAGTAGTAGTAGTAGTAGTAGTAGTACGTAGTCGTAGTCGTAGTCGTAGTCGTAGTCGTAGTCGTAGTTGTAGTCGTAGTCGTAGTCTTAGTCGTAGTCGTAGTCGTAGTAGTAGTAGTAGTAGTAGTAGTAGTAGTAGTAGTAGTAGTAGTAGTAGTAGTAGTAGTGGTGGTGGTGGTGGTGGTGGTGGTAGTAGTAGTAGTAGTAGCAGTAGTAGTCGTCCCCCCTAGGCTCTGGGGAGCCTGTGGGCGGGGGGGCTACTACTGCCCTCAAACCGCGGGTGACAGGCGCCCTTCCTTTTCTCGCGCCCTCACTGTTACGAACGCTCTTCCTTGCCCTGAAGGGGCGTCCTGGGATGGCGGCGGCCGCTGGCGGCGCTGCGGACGCAGGTGCAGGGGCTCGAGTGGCTGGGGGTAACGCCGCTGCGGCTCGAGGCGAAGGCGGAGTGCTGGCAGCTGCGGGAGGCAGCGGAGGTGCTGGGGCCGCCCCGTGCGCCTCCGCTGCCGCTCCCGCGTCGGCAGGTGCGAACGCAGCCGACATCCCCGTGGATGGCAACATCGACGTCCACATGCGTGACAGCGGGGGCCAGCCAGCACAGAGGCGGCGCCGCATGACGGCCGGACGCATCACCCGTTGGTGCGTCAGCGCCCAGGCGGCCCGTGGCAAGAAGTCTCACTGCACGCGCTGCATGGGAGGCTTCGAGGCGGGCGAGTGGCGCGTGGCGGACGTCGTGACACCACCCGCGGGGTCCCAGGCGCGCGCGGGCAGGAAGTGGTTCCACATGGCCTGCGTCGATGGCCCACTGCCACCAGCTGCGGCGATGGTGGGCTTTACTCAGCTCCCTGAGGCGACAGGGATCGCCTCGCGGCAGCCCTGGAAGCCCGAGGGGGCCCCATCCTGCCCCTGATGGAGACAGTCGAAGGCCAGGCCCCCGCCCCTCCCACCCAGGGAGATGGCGCGGCAAAGGGCATTGGGGCAGCCTCGAGGCCCCCTGCCGCCGCCGCGCCAGGAGCATACGGCCCAGGCGCGCGGGGGGCTCCCCTGGGGGCGTCCGAGGCAGCGGTGCCGACCACGGCGGACATCTTACAACCGCCGCTCGACGTCCCTGCGGAAGCAGGCGAAGAGGGCGGACTCGAGACAGGCGTCTACGATCTACGACGGCTACCTGGACGACCAGGTGACGAGCGAGGACGCGTACCACGAGGTGGGCTTCGTCAACCTGGACTGGTGGGATGCCATCGGGTGGGGCCGCATCCTGCTCCAAGGGGCGCCCACCACAGCCATGATCCCCGACAGCATGGCGGCAGCCGTCAGCCACGTGAAGGTGCGGCTGTGCTTGGCAATTGAGCAAGCCCGCCAGAGCAACGACGCTCAGTCGTCGAGCACGTTGGCGAGGCTGTGGAAGGTGTTCCTCGCGCTGGACGGACAACCGTTCTGCGAAAATGCGACCCCGTCCCCAACGACGCGGCGTGAGCGCCTCCAGGAGCGCCTGCGGTGGGTCCAGGACGGCCAGTGGGATGTTGCCTGGCTCTCCATGGAGGACCAGACGCGCGCCGCGGTCACCGCGAAGGGCCGCGAGGATCACGTCGCAGCCCGTGTGCGCCGTGTCACCGAGCTCGCACGAGCGGGAGAGATGTCTCGGGCGGCGGCGGCAGTGTGGCCCCAGGGGGACATGACGGACGCAGCGGCGGTGGTGAGGAAGTTCAGCACCACCCAGCAGCCCGAGGCGCCTCGTCCAGGCGAGTGGGGCCCTCTCCCTGGCACTGGGGCCGCCCCGCGTGGACCAGGGAGAGGGGCCGCAGGGGCGGGGGCCGACGTGGCGATGCCGCCAGCCGCAGCTCCCCACGAGCTCGACGGCGCAGCAGAATTACACCGCCGTGTGGCCAACCACCTTAAACGTCAGTTTGGCCGCTTCCCCGCCGTGGAGGGGCGGGGCCTGGAGGAGGACGCTGCGAGCACTGGGCCCCTCTCAAGCACGACGAGGATGGAGCAGAGGCGGTGGCCAACACGCTGGCTTGACTGGCCATCGGGAACCTCCCCCCCCGAGGCGCTAGCCGCCGTGACGGCGGCGCGCCTAACAGGCATCCCCAAGGCAACCCCTGGGGATGTGCGAGTCCTGGGCTGTGGAAACGTCACCCGCCGCATGGTGGGCCGCAGTGCCGCCAAAGTCCACCACAAGGACATGCGGACGGCGGTGGGGGACCAGCAGTTCGGCCTCGCCAATGACGGATGTGGTGCACTCCATCGACATCGACGCCTATGCACGATGGCCAACTCGAGCCCAGGCAAGTGGGTGGTGGCGGTGGACCTCGGGGATGCGTTCAGCAACATCCCCCGCGACCTGGTGAAGGAGGCCGTGCGCGCCAAGGTGCCTGCGCTGGCCCCGTTGGCGGAAGCCTGGCCCCCCGCCCGAACGCGCCACGTGGCGGGGGGCGGGTCGCAACCCGCCCAGCTGGTCGACCAGATCCGTGGCCTCGACCAGGGCTGCCCGATGAGCCCAGGCTTCTAC